AAATCACCATGCCATCCTTGTAGCTGAAAACAAAGGTTTGAGTTAATACAGAAACTCTTGGTCCTGATTTGTTGTCAAAGCTTCTCACTGAGACTGTTATCATTATCCGTGTATGCCAGATAGGGAAGCCAAATCACTGCAGCAGGGGGACTGGAAAACTCATCATCAGCTGGAACTCCAGTTCAGCACCGGGATGCACACAACTGCCTTTCCAACCACAACTGCACGTGAAGGAATGTGCATTATGAATGAAATCAAATCTGAAAATTATTTCTGGAGTGCTGTGTACCAGCAAAAAAAAAAAAAGGCAATAAAAAACAACTTCCAAGATCTCTGAGAAAGCAATCATACAATTGTCTAACAAGGAAAAATCCATTGCAAGGACCTTTCAAAAGAATGGAAAGTAACAAAGTAGTTAATATTTACCCAATGGCCACCAGGTTTTCATCATGAGGAGAACAAGTGAGGCAAAAAATCGTCCGAGGCTCTGGGAAGAATTGCTGGCTGTCATTTCTGTTATACCAGTAACAGACAATTACGCCTTTCTCATCACCGGATACAACCAGATCTTTCACAAGAGGCGACCAGTGCAATGCAGAGATTGTGTTCTAAAGAAACAGAAACAAAAGTCATTTAAAGGAGTCTAGGATGTTGTTTCACTAGATCTATTCTGTAGACTGCTTAAATCATTAGAGAAAAAGAAGTGCATGCACTTGGCTGAGTGATTTTAAGGGGGCTGTGCTAAGCAGCCGTGAGCACGTGCTGAGCGCATGGCCCCTCACGGAAGCTCTGACGACACCCGGTGTTGTAACATCGCAGTAGGTTTAAGCCTGGAGGAAAAGTCTCCCCGCAGGAATTGGGCGGTCTGGGCCGCGCACGTGGCCGAGGCTCCGCGCGCCGCTCCGTGTGCGGATCCCCCGCGCGCTCCGGCCTCCCGGCGCGGCCCCACCTGGTGCAGCGCGTGCTCGGCCAGCGGCGCCAGCCTCTCGGCGTCCCACAGC